CCACATCTTGAGTATGCCATTCACTTCTGATCACTCTAGTTTCTCACGAAGGATGTGCTGCAACTGGAGAGAATCTAGAGAAAGGTAACAAAGCTAATATGGGGGTTGGAGGACTTCAGTTATGAGGAACAACTACAAACATTAATCTTATTCTCTCTGGAGAGGAGACACTTAAGAGGGGACATGGTCACAATATGCAAGCAAAACTTTAAATGGTGACCCTAGCATTGAGAGGATACTATTTAATCTTAAGTCTCTAAAGAAGACATATGGTCACAATGAAGTTGGATGAGAAGCACTTTAATATTAAACTGCGTAAGGGTTTTGTTTATTTATTTATTACAGGTATTTCTATAGTGCTGGCAATTTATACATATATCATATTGACATCAGTCCCTGCCCTCAAGTTGCTTACAATCCCCAAGTTCCCTAATTCACTTTCATTTATACATACACATACCAATTTACACAGGAAGCCAATGAACCTACCAGCACGTCTTTGGGGTGTAGGAAGAGACCAGAATACCCAGAGGAAACCCACGCAGGCACAGGGAGAACATGCAAACCCTAGGAACGTAGTGCCAAGGTTGAGATTCAAACCAATAAACCTAGTGCTGCTAGGCAGAAGTGATAACCACTGGCCTTTATGTTGTCCTCCAAAGTGGAAAGAATGTGGAACTTCCTTCCAGAGTTGGTTTGCATGTCTTTCTTAGTGTGAACAATGTACAATTTACACACACACAGACTTTATTCAACCTTACCAACTATGTATAAAATATACAATTAAAAAGTGAATACTTGTGAGCCACTATGTCTCAGATGTTCAGTATAATATGTGTAATTAGTGGTAGTGAACTACCTGTTGTGTTAGGTGCGCTGGCACTTTCACAAACTCACTTAATTGTGTATATGTAAATTGATTAGACGTATTTATGATGCCGCGCTCCTACTATACATACATAATACTGTATTGTATATCACTCATAAACATCAATGAACTAATTAAATTAATAATAAATATAATAAAAATCAATAGATTAATTAATGTGATAAAGTGAATGAAAAATCAAATCATGAAATAAATGATCACATAAAAAAAAACCCCTCTGGTTTACACCTATTATGTCTATTTTATGTCTATTTTTGGTAACAAGGGGTTAGTACATAGTATGAAAGAGTAATAAAATAGACATAATAGGTGTAAACCAGAGGGTTTTTTTTTATGTGATCATTTATGTATAGGTTATGTAATATTCATTATTTTTCATATAAAGGCTATTTTATGATATATTATATATTTTTAAATATGAGGCATATTAAAGTTTTATCATTTTAATGTTAGGTATACAAATCAGATTATGAGGCACAAATCTGCTGGATTATATATTATATATGGATACCGAGTTAGATATAAGAGTATGGCATGCAGCTGATCCGAGTAGCAATGTCTGACAGGCAGAAAATTAACATACACCTGGGATAATACTGTGTTAATTGAACATAGGAAAAATCAGTTAGAAAATGGCCACGCCCATGCGGTCTTCAACAAAAAATGGCGGCCGCTATGTATATATACCAACACAAGATAGTTGTGATGTCCAATCAAATTCCCCCTGATGAAGTCACGTGACCCTGTGACGCAACGCGTAGGGGAGGGGCTCTGACGTCACGACGTTGCATCGGAGAGGCTCGGCAATTCTAGCAGAGGCAGACAGAGAGGCAGAGGGAATCACCAACTCTGCATATCTGCTTAAGATAAGTGCCTCATATGCTTGTATCACCGCATCTGGTAGCAATAAATACGCTTACTTAAAAGGATAAGACACCATGGTCTTTTTTTTCTCCATCTGATCTATATACTCAACATTGAGGAAAGGTGGATATGAGAAGGAGGTGTCCCCAGGAGGGGAAATAGGAGATACTGATACCCGTTTCAAAAATCTATCTATGAGTGGCCACGTGGATGAATTGAGAGGAGATTATAGGAGGAGGATCTGAGCAGGTCTGCACATCCATCTGGAATACTGCATAAAGGAGCACTATCCCACCAGTCCTAGAAGGACTAAAAGTCTATTTGCCTAAATTTATTTGGGCAAATATTAAGGTGAGCGCATATTGAGACTACACGGCACCTGGAAAGAGGGATTAAGGAGTTCACCTGCACATTGCACATTTTGCACAAAGATATATAAGACTGTTCATTTTTGTATGCACCTTTGCACAAAGATATAAAAGACTTTTTATTTAATCATGAAATTGGAATATGGCATTGATAATATTGTTTGAGCACTAATGGCACAATTTAGCATATTCATGATTTGATTTTTCATTCACTTTATCACATTAATTAATCTATTGATTTTTATTATATTTATTATTAATTTATTTAGTTCATTGATGTTTATGAGTGATATACAATACAGTATTAAGTATTTATAGTAGGAGCGCGGCATCATAAATACGTCTAATCAACTTACCAACTATGTAACTACGAAATTTGGCCTGTTTAGCAGGGACCAGCCAAATATCAATCTATCTATGGCTGTTTTTGCTCGGTCTAACAAAAAATTTCACTAATTCACTACTTGACCGACATTTGTATTCACTGTATTTGTGTTTAATGGTACCGTTGCATAGGCGTTTTTTAGAATAATGTTTTTTTTTCTGGCTTCTGAGCACCCACTCTTGTACCTGGTACATCTGCCAGAATGTCTTCACTTAAGCTGTGGTCTTCATCTATTCCAACTAAAAGTGTGTTTCTTGATTTTTTTTTTTTTTTGTATGCACTATCATCTTCAGTTTGCACCAGATAAAATCAAGGTGCTAGTCGCTTAACAATTACATTACTTGGCAGTCATCTTTCGCTAGATATTTGCATCATATTATGATCTCCCTCCTTTACAGCAGTTATCAAGCATATAGTCCTGTTTTCATCTTTAAAGTGTAAGTCTCGCCAAAAAAAAAATTTCTTTAGTTTTGGATGGAATGGAGAAAGGTTAGGGTTATCTTCTCTGTATTTGCAAGACAAAGAGAGGTTTCAAAGGTTATAAACATTAGCACTTGTGTTTGTGGTTGTATTGGCATGTTTGCACATAGAGAAGAATTGCATGTAGGCTGGGACTTCTGAGAGAGGTCCAGATGGCCGTTTGCCTTCTAGGCAAAAGCTTCCCTTGTTCGTTTAGGCTCTGTATCTCAGGACCATCTAAAGTTCAAATTGTATTACTTCTTTAGTTTTGGATAGAACGGAGAAGGGTTAGGGTTCTCTTCTCTGTATTTGCAAGACATAGAGAGGTGACAAAGGTTATAAACATTAGCACTTGTGGTGTTTGTGGTTGTATTGGCATGTTTGCACATAGAGAAGAATTGCATGTAGGCTGGGACTTCTGAGAAAGGTCCAAATGGCCCTCTTTGCCTTCTAGGGAAAAGCTTCCCTTGTTCGTTTAGGCTCTGTATCTCAGAACCATCTAAAGTTCAAATTGTATTACTTCCAGGTAGGGTCAAGGGCACATTACTATTGGATTAATACCTTAATAAACAGTGTTACTGACCAATAGGAAGTTAAAGGAGGTTGGAGCAGGAAGGCCAGCTCTTATCATTTCCAAGAAGTGTTAAATTCTTGCTACACACAATTACATTTTATTACCAGCAATGCAAATGAACGGTCAATCTCCCATAATTGGCAATTCCACAATTTAATTGTGTAGGAGAAAATATTTTTAATTCATTTATTCTCTTCTTTAAACTTTAAAAGAAATAGAACATTTATTGCTCAACAATCACTTATTAGAAAATTGTTAGGCGATGTTCTCATTAAAGTAGTATACCTCTGTGAGATTAATCTTATGAGATTAATCGCTTAAAAAAAAAATCACTCATGTAGCAGTGGCCTAGTAACCATGTCTTATCTCATGAAGATAGGCATAAATCTGTCTAACTGTGCAGTGTTTCCTTAATTTTAAAGGAGCACTTTTCTAAACCTGACTGAATACAAGAGCTTAAATAGTATCTAAACCCATAATACAAAAATGAAGCATATTGCAGTTTACCAGCCCATAGATGTAGTGACTGCATTCATTTTCATTTTTTTTCTATATTTTATATCTTTATTTGGTGATCTTTCTAGTATAAGACTTCCTGTCCTAGGGCTGACAGTACTCACTGTACTGTACCTATGGAGGAGTAGCGTTGTCACTATAGGCTCCTGATTTGGAATGCAGGGCACCTCCCTCTTTCAGCATCTCCATAACATAGGCGGGAAGTGTTCTGTATTCAGGTGAACTGGACAGAGCTACATACCTTGTTACCAGACCATTCATTTCAGCATAAGAATTTATGTACAGTTAATGTATTTTATGTATGTTATTAACCTGTAAAGGCCTTCCTTGTGTAGACATCCTAAAGCCCTAGGTCAGCCTTGGGGTGCCACCATCTTGGATGTGATTTCAGAAGCCCCAGGTGACTCAGAACTGTCATTCAAATGACACCCTATAGTTTTCACCTTTGCTTCTCCCCTTACAGCTACATAAAATGAAGGGAGGGTCGAAGATGCTGGGCCAGCACAGACAGTAATTAGTCCCACAAGAGTAGAGGGGTATATTGTGTAAAGAAGGAGGGGGCTAGAGCATTGACTTTTCTGAAGTAGTCAAGCTTTCTAGCAATTTCAAAGCTAGTGAATAAAAATTATTTATGGACAGGTAAAACAATGCAAGTAAGCATTTAAAATGATGTGCTTTTACCTGAAATTGGCTTTCTAGCAATTTCAAAAGCACTTTGCAAGTGAATAAAAAATAATTTTTGGAAAGGAAAAACAATACAAGTAAGCATTTCAAAATCTGCGCTTTTATCTGCAATTGCGCCACCCCATAGCAGAAATACTGCTACAGGGTGGCAGCGGTGCGCAAAATCACGTGTATATATATATATATATATATATATATATATATATATATATATGATTTTGCATCTCCATGTAGGGGGCACGTGCAAGGTGCGCCCTACCCGCTCCACCAGTCCCGGCCGTGGCTGTCAATCACCGGGTCCCCGCCGGTGATTACTCATTAGTGCCCGGTGATTGCCGAGGACCTCCAGTGGGAAGGAGAACTGTTAGTAAACAAAACAGTTCTCCTCCCTGTCAACTCCTGCACACTGCTTTGCATGGCTGTGCACGGCACAGCCATGCAAAGCAGTGTGCTTACAATGAAGCACAAACACAGAACATCATGTAAAATGGCACACAACACACGGTTAACCCTTTGATTGCCCCAGATGTTACCCCTTCCTGTGCAATGCCATTAGTACAGTGTCAGTGTTTTTTATTAGCACTGATCACTGTATTGGTGTAACTGGGGATGTCAGTGACACCAAGTCAGTTCCCCCCAGTGTCAGAATGTCCGCTGCAGTCCCGCTATAAGTCGCTGATCGCTGCCATTAGTAGTAAAAAAAAAAAGAAGAGCCCAGTATATATACCACTATTTGTAAACACTATAACTTTCACGTAAACCGATTAATTTACACAAATTGGGATTTTTTGTAGCAAAGACATGTAGCAGAAAACATTTTGGCTTAAATTTCTGACAAAATTTGATTTTTGAAATTTTTTTACTGAACATGCTTAATAGCAAAAAGTCAAAAATATTGTTTTTTTCCCTCAAAATTGTCGGTCTTTTTTTTTTCATAGCGAAAAAAATAAAAAATGCACAGGTGATCAAATACCACCAAAAGAAAGCTCTATTCATGGGAAAAAAGGACATAAATTTCATTTGAGTGCAGCGTTGCATGACTTTGCAATTGTCAATTAAAGTAACTCAGGGCCGTAATGCAAAAAAAATGGCCTGGTCAGGAAGGGGGGTAAATCCTTAGGAAGGCAAGTGGTTAAAGTGGTTCTAAAGGCTGAAAGTAAAATTTCTTCTGGGTAAAGCTCCCTCCACACCCCCCCCCCCCCCCCAATTACACACACCTTTGCCCCTTCTCAATCCAGTGATGAGCATGAGAGTAGTGGCTCTCCAGGGTCTCTCTCTCCTCATTGGTTCACACAGCAGTGGGGGGCAATTGGTTTGCTATTAGGGACACTCAGCAGGGAGGAGGAGCCAGGACCAATGACAGGGGACCCAAAAAGAAGAGGAGAAGGGCTCCTCTGTGCAACACTATTGAGCAGAGCTAAAGTATAACATGTTATTTTTTTTTCTTTCCTCAAGAATTACTTTAACCCCTTCACGCCAGTGCCTCCCGGCCCTTTAAGAGTTTCGGGAGGCGGGGCGGGGATTAGGGTTATGTGACACATGATCGGGAGTAGCTTTCCGTGAGTACCGGACATGTGTGCTGGGAGCGCGCGCTCTCGGCACAAATGTCCTTTTTAATAGAAAAGCAAATGTGTGGCCACTCGGCGTCTAGGCCCAGATGCCGGGAGGCCGCACATTTGCGTTCGGCCAGCATGAAGAGGTTAAGTTAATGACAGAGTCTCTTTAACTCACTGTAGCAAAAGCAGAGTTCACAGAAAGCTATAAGCTCACTGGTTTAAACAGATAACAAAATACTTTGATGGCAATCTTTAAAGTGGTTGTAAAGGCAGTTTTTTACCTTACGGCATTCTATGCCGTAAGGTAAAAACCCTTCTGCATGCAGCTTCCTGCACAGCCTCCCTAAATACATACCCCAGCCCAATTTCGATCCATAAGAGCCCAGACTGTCCTGGCTCTCTTACTCCTCATTGGCTCAGATACAGCAGCGGGAACCATTGGCTCCCGCTGCTATCAAATTACAACTAGTGAGAAAGGAATACAGCTTGGGAGCAAGCACACACGAGTGCCCCCAAAGCAAGCAGCTTGCTGTGGGGGCACTCAGTGAAGAGGAGAAGCCAGAAGCACCAGCAGGGGACCGGAGAAGAGCAGAATCAGGGCTACACTATACAAAACCATTGCAGAGTAGGTAAGTATACCATGTTTGTTATTTTAATAAAAAAAAAAAAAAACCTTTACAATCATTTTAACAGACCAAAAGGAAGAAAGTAAGAGAAGGTTATTGTTAGGGGATACAAATACTTTAAAAAACCTCAAACTCCTACTCCCTGTGCTTATCCTTCGCACTTATGCAGGATAGACACCGTGCAAAAACAAGAAGCTTTAATATTGATGTGGCTCACTTTAACCCCTTTACAATGGATATATGCATATTTGCAGTGGCAGGGGAGGTTGGCTTTAATGACCTACTGCTACATATATGTGTCATGGTCTTGTTCTGGAGCGTGCTCCATGAACTGTGAGCAAGCTGTCACCAACAGGTCATGGTGAACTGCTGTAGAACAAGAGCCAGTAGGATACTCTCCCAATGACATTAAAACTTTCATCAAACATACTGCCACATGATAGGGAGCCCTGCTTACCCACCTTAGTCATCCTGGACCATTTAAAGAGTTGCCTCCCACCTGCATAAAGGGGTTAGACTAAAACCAGAACCCTGAGTCAGACCTTTCCTGACACATCTTGATTCTTGGGACCTGCAGAGAACCATCTACATCAGCAAGTTAACAAGGCCAATGCACACAACAACTGGGCAATCATACCACTGTTCCTTTCAATTCTTATTTAAATGGGGTGGCAGAGAAAGAAAAAGCTGAGCAAGGTGTGGAAGACAGAGGAGATTTAGATGTAATCAGTAACTCCCACACTATGTGACAGGTTGTCGATACACAGCACACTTCTCTAAGCAGCAGCGGCATCAAACCCCTGGGGGGTGATAAGACCAATGCCTTCAATCACTGGCACACTTCCTAGGCAGCCAAGCAGATATATATGGGTTAATGTACATCTAGTGGAAGCACTTGGCTTAGTCTTTCGTTGCATAATTTCAGCGTGAACACTCTAAATAAGCAGATATTGCAGTTTTTACGGTTCACGATCTTCAAGAGTCATCAGGAATTTCCCTGTTATCTGTTGGTAAAAACAAAAGAGTGGTTTTACACAGCAAAATCCTTCTTACACTAATCTGAATACATATATACTGTACTTAGAAGCCACTGAATTAGGAATGGGGGGAGAGCAATATGATCAGAAGTAATATTCTGTATACTGTTACTTCTGAAAATGCTTGCTTGGTTTTAGGGAGACCAGTGTGTTCCAGGTAATGTTCCCTGCACCATTACACTCTCATCAGCTCTATCCTAAGCCACAATACAATGCAATATAAATCTATAGATTTATGCTATGTAAACCACTATATGCACACTGTGATGGAATGCGGCGCCCGACCTCTGCCCTTCTCACCAACTTGTGACAAAGGACCAGCCAATCTGGCACCGCTCTGTCACTTGCGTAACAATGCCACTCTCAGTTGCACCCTGCACAAAGATTTTCCAGCTCGCAGAACCATAATGTATGTGCCAGCAGCCTGAGAGCGATTGTTACAGGGTTAGGTTAATTACACAATTAACCCTTCACACTGCCACCACTGCCTTTTTACAGAGAAGGAGGAAACTCACAAATCCTAGCAATAACACTATGATTTTAGCATAAGCGTCTGCAACACACACACTGTCACCACAGACAAGGATATTCAGAGGATTGTTGTATACAGGAGCACTCTTCCAGGGACAGGGATATCAGATGATTATTATATACAGTACAGGAGCACTCTTTCAGGGACAAGGATATCAGAGGATTGTTATATACAGGAACACTCTTCCAGAGACAAGTATATTCAGAGGATTATTAAATACAGGAGCACTCTTCAAGAGACAGGGATTCTTTAGTTTGCATTAAAAGCTTTAGAGACAGTTTCAACATTTTTCAAAATAGTGTTTATTACTAAAAAGGTCAAAATGGTACAATTAAAATATTTACAGAAAAAGATGTTACAAAGACATAAAGAGAACAATAATGCAACAGAGATATAAAAGAAAGGAGTTAAGAAGACAGAATACTTGCAAAGTCCTGGTTTAGCAGAGTCCAATTGTCTGAGCAAAATGTTGCCTTGACTCTCAAGTCCGTTTAGATGTTTCTTGATTGATGTTAAATGAGAGCTTCCTTTCTCCAGGCCTGTCAGTCCTTTTGTATGATATTAAAGGGGTGTCGCCTGAGAACAACTGACCAATCACCCGGTTTAGGGGATGTGTTCTAGGAGGTCACTAAGTTTATGACCAAGTACCAACTACAATTTCATACTAATATTAATAACTTCCAGTATGTGCAGGTGGTATTCTAGCAACTGGCTGGTTAATATTCAGAATTATATTTCAAACCCAGGGATACCAACCACAGTGTACCTTTGTCACCCAGGAGGGAAGAGACTGCTTTCTCCTCTCTCCTATATGCTAACATAGTCATGTAGGACCTTGTTTGACTCGGCATGAAATGATCTATACAGATATATACCTATTATTAATGAGCCCAGTTCATGTTGGATGCTATGAATTGTAGGTGAAATGGTTACATGTGGAATGGACGTTTTATAGCACACTCTGCATTCTTAAGCTCTAATGGCCTAACAGGTCATGTGTGATGGCTGACTGAGTTATTGTTTTTTACAATAGGGTGGAGGAAAGTGTCTTTTCAAAATGGACATCCTGCCAAGACTAATTAGCAGTTTACAGCTCTGGAGCTGACCTCTATTTGTGTTTAATTAAGATAAGAGGCTCTTTTGAAGTCCCTTACAACTTATAGCTACAAATTCCATTTCAAGAGGAGGGAGGAGGGGTGAATGATGATTGTTCATGAAAAACAAAATGGCTGAGACCTTAACAAGATGGCTGTCATGTACAGTTTCCATTTCTCTATTGCGCATAATCGTTACACTCAATCACGCAGAAATCAAAATTCAGCCACAGTTTAGTTATTCAGTTTTGGTAATTGCATACCAGCTATAGCCTAATTTTCCAGCTTTTACCTGAGCTATGGCAAAACTGTCATGATCCTCTTCAAGAATCAACATTTTATATAATCAGAGTCATTCTTTACTCAACATTAATGTAAACAGTGGTTATTGTGGACTCAGTTTCTTTTAGCTCCAACAAGTCTGATATTTTCTATTGCTAAGATGCGTTTGCTGAGATGGCTGCCACTTAGTACCCAAGAATAATATTGATAAATCATCAGTGATAAATATTATAAAAGCATATCATTTAATTTTTAAATTGTTTAAGTTTCTTAAAATATAAATCACGTCTGTCACTGGATTATTATCATTCCCCTTGTGTGCTTAAAGCAGCTCCCTGAAAGTTGTTCAAGTGGGGAGATGTAGTGATCTGCCAGCAGGGTATTCATTACTAGAATTCCATTCTACATTTTCCGTTGTGTGAAATGTGTTTGTTTTTCTAATTATTAGTGGGTCAAATCGACGTTCATTTTCAATGGCAGTGATAAGAAAATTTGAAATGGCAAGATGGAAAATTTTTCTTGAATATGCAAATTTCTAAAAGTGTATTATTTTTCGTCAGTAAAGTCCTTCATTCCAAAATTGAATGCCAAAAGCAAATGATATCTTGAACTACTTTTAGAACGACAGTCGAATGTACTGAGAATTTTCATACAAATTTTCCTAAGAAATTTTGTACGAAATTCTGCTAGTGTATACTCAGCTGTAGGTTTGCCAAATTGGAAAATGTTTGCCATTTAGCAAACATAAGACTGTCTGTCTAGCTGAGCATCTGGCAAGTCATTACATTTCTTTCTACTCCTCCTTTGAACAACTTTCAGGGAACTGGGGGGATGATATTAATTCAGGGATACTCCATTTAGGTGTGGGTGTACCACAAAGGGATTTTTGCACTTAAATAGACATCACTATCTACGTGATAATACTGTGTTAGGATGAAGTGGATTTTTATTACCACAAAATGTGTCAGAAGAATTTAATTTATGCAGCATGGCATTATGAACTAGAAAAGCTACAATTTCTGGGGAAATTGTGTGAAGTGTTCTTGCCTCCACCAGTAGTCTACAACTGGAGTGGGCGGAGTAACTGGGTGGAGTGGCTTGAGTAACTGTTGTGTGGTTGGAGTAGCTGGAGTAACTGTGAAAAGGTTGGACTGGGCAGAGTAACTTTATGGAGTGGGCAGAGTAACTGTGTGGAGTGTTTGGAGTGAGTAAAGATAGTAAACAATACACTAACCAATTGATTGATCAAATTTAAAAAGTGCACATGGCAAGCTTGATAGAGTGACAAATGCATTTCAACTTTTATTTATTTATATAGCACATTTAGTTGCAATGTTGTTGCCCAAAGTGCTTCACAGTTACATTAAAACATACATTTATAAAAACATTAGCAGCATTATCACCTCAAATACTCTCTACTGTAGAAAACCTATTTCCAAAGCTTTAACCAGAAGCTGTCACAAATTCAAAATTAGATTTCAAATAGGGCAGAGAAGAGCGGTTAAAAACAAACTGCTCCAAATTGCTCACTTCACTGGCGTCTTCAAATGGTCATAGTTAAAAACTATAAATCCTACAGCGAAGAGCTTTATATTGTGAGATCACAAGACCCAGACCTACATTTTGATGCATAGTGTGTCTCTGAAATAATTAAAAATGAAGGCACAGTCGCAGTTTAGAAATTTCCCTTCAAATTGAGGTGGCTAGGGAGTTTCAATGAATGTCAATGGGCGGCGTGAGTTGCAAACAAATGGTCATATTGTGAAAACTATCAGGGCTATGGCTTAGCCGTGGACATTTTTACTGGCAGCAGGGACGTTTTGATATAAGATTTGTGTAGGTGGGCTTGAAAATGAGGGAGTGATGGCAGTTTAGAAATCATGTCCTTATTTTTCAGCTCACACTCTAGCTTTTGTCAGCTCCCACTCTAGTTTTGAACATTCCGCCATTCATTCCTATAAGACCAATTTCACCATAAAAAATGATATTTCATGAACCATTCGGCGAAACGTTCCACAAAGTAATAGCACACCAATCGGGAACAATCCGCATGTTTCAGTATATTACTGTCTATGTAGTGTAAAAACTGTGGGAGGAGTTAGGGTGGTAAATTTGGCTATAATAATAAGAATATATGTGAGATAACAGTAAGTGGTCTTGCCCATGCAAGAACACTTAATAATATACAACTAAAGCAAACAAACAAAGGATTTCCCAGCAACACTCACCAGCCAGTCTGCAAAACAACCAATTTGGCCCTGTCTAACAGTTTGCATTAACCGCTTCCGACCACCCTTTAGCAGAAATACTGCTACAGGGCGGTACAGGTGCGCAAAATCACGTATATATACACGTGATTTTGCATTTACGGGCAGCGGCTGTCAATCACTGGGTCCCGGCTGGTGACTACTCGCTGTCACCTGGTGATTCACGAGCATTTCTGACAGGGAGGAGAACTGTTTGTAAACAAAGCAGTTCTCCCTGTCAGCTCGTGCACACTGCTTTGCATGGCTGTGCACAGCACAGTCATGCAAAGCAGTGTGCTAATAGTTAAGCACAAGGACACAGCACAGAGTAAAAACAGCACACAGTTAACCCTTTGATCACCCCACATGTTAACCCCTTCCTGCCCAGTGCCATTAGTACAGTGTCAGTGCTTTTTTTTATCACTGATCAATGTATTGGTATCACTGGGGATGTCAGTGACACCAAGTCAGTTCCCCCCAGTGTCAGAATGGAGAGGGGACGCTGCAGTCCCACTATAATTCGCTAATTGCTGCCATTACTAGTAAAAATTTAAAAAAAAATTTAAAATCCCAGAAATGTTATTTTAGCAAAGACGTACCAGAATACAATTTGGCCTAAATGTATGACGAAATTAGATTTTTAAAATTTTTTTTACTGGACATGTTTAATGGCAAAAACTAAAAAATATTGTTTTTTTTTCTCAAAATTGTTGGTCTTTTTTTTTTATAGCGCAAAAAATAAAAAACGGACTGGTGATCAAATACCACCAAAAGAAAGCTCTATTTTTGGGGAAAAAAGGACGTAAAGTTAATTTTGGTGCATGACCAATTTGGTGCAATTGTCAGTTAACGTAATGCAGCGCCGTAATGCAAAAAACGGCCTGGTCAGGAAGGGGGGTAAATCCTCAAGAGGGCAAGTGGTTAAAAAACAGAGGGTTTTGTTTGCACACACTTGCAAATACATGCATAAGCCACAATCCCGCATCAAGGGTCCTCTGTATACTGTGGACCTAATCTAAAATTTCCAGAGCCTCCGTAGTAGGAGCACCTATATCAATGGGTAGGTTAAGGGCAGGTGTTCCTGGAGGAGCCCATCCCTCCTTAAAGGTACAGGAATGCAACCAGCTATAGCAAAATTACAGCAAAGGCATCCAGTGCATCCCTGCATCCAATTTAGCCAACTGCACAAAAACGGCAATGGTGAATATACAACTAAAGCTTATAGCCATTTTCAACAAGCTCAGATATTAAATATATTTTATTGATTAACAACACAGGCTATGGTCTTGTTTAAAATGAGGCAATAACATCTACCTATGATGTTTTTAAAGATTTTGCGAAATGAAATGATATAATTGTCATATTATGTATCCTTGATGACTGAGCAATATCTCCCTTGGATGCTGCTAAAGTCCCATTTCATTGTATAAAAGTCTTCTATGCAAATGTTAATAGGGCATGTGGGTACCTGTTTTTTATGAGGAATTTGCAGAGGAATAACAACTTTTCTCCTGTAAAATAGAACAGAATTGACACTTGATGGATGTTTTTCTTTTTTTTTTACACCATCAACTGTAAATTATAGCGTGAAAATAACAGCGGGTAGTAGTTTTTCTGAGATGCTGCAACCACCACATCTGGCATGAGCAATCTTTACATAGTCTAAAATGCTTAGCACAAGCAACTTACCCCATTCTAATGTTTGATGAGACAACCACTGAATCTTTTGACCATGTCTTATTGCTTTTTTAATTCATTGTACTCAAGTAATTTGCTGTTTAATTATTTGTGTTAATACGCAGTTGTAGCAATACAGTTTTATACAGCTGTATAACAATTATCTCAAAACAGACACAGGACAGAAAAAAGATCAACTTATTTGAGCTTTCATGCTGCAGAAAGATTTTATGCATGCTGTGGACAACCCAAAGAACTAATATTTCAATTATGAAAGAGATCAAACCGGCTATGTCACTAGAAGCCCAAATGCTGAAGTTATGACTCTTCTGTTTTGGTCATGCTTTGGAAGAAAGATCAATGGAGAGGGAAATAATTTTTGCACAGATCGAAGGCAACTGGCAAAGAGGGAGACGAGCTACTAGATCAGGGGTGTCAAACTGGCAGCCCTCCAGCTGTTGAGAAGCTACGAGTTCCATCATGTCCCTGCCTTTGGGAGTCATGCTTGTAACTGTCAATCTTGCAATGCCTCATGGGACTTATAGTTTGACAACAGCTGGAGGGCCGCCAGTTTGACACCCGTGTACTAGATGGTTGGACACATTGACTACAGCTGTGGGGATGCCACTGGAAGATCTCACCAGACTAGCGCTTCTTTTTAGAACTCTCATTCATCAAGTTGCTAGGACTTGGACCTGAGTTGACAGCATTTAAAAGTAATAAAAATAAAAATGTGCAACTGAAAATGCTGCATATTTCTAGAAAATGTCAGCAAATGCTGGAGTTTATTGTGAGAAAAAATGTATTGGTAGATATGTTTGTTTATTTGACATCAATATACTATAGTATGTTACACTGAGTAAGTCATAAGTTCTAGTGAGCATGGTTGTCTTTTATTGTGTTGTCAGATTTTGTCCTGTATGCTGCATCATAGTGTAATGACTATTTTGTAAACCAAGCAGGGACGGACTGACAACTCATGGGGCCCCCGGGCAATAGGGGATCATGGGACCCCTGTGTCCTTGCCTAAACTCAAAAAAGCCTATGAAAAAAGGTACCAGGGGCATCTCATGGGGCCCCCTACTGACCCCGGGCCCTCAGGCAGTGCCCGAGTTTCCAAATGGTCAGTCCGCTCCTGATACCAAGTACGCTGGCAGCATAAACCAGTATTAGACCTCTGGACAGAAGTTTTATCTGCTGGTTATTTGTGCATTTGTTGCATCCAGCATTAACCTGGCAGCACAGTCTACCTGAGTTATAAGGCTCTTTCCCACTATGTGAGTTGACCTGCATTTTTCCATACAGGGTGAACAATTGTTTTCTATGTGCCCTGTTCACACCACTATGCTGGTGTGATGTTTCGTAATTGCAGTGTAGAAAAATGCAATATATCTGCATTTTTCCGCATCACACCTCATGTTAGCAGAGCAATGCACCATGCCGCTGTGCAATGACATGAATGAAGTGTCACTATGTATGCATGTGAATAATGGCAAAAGTAAATTGCAAAGTAAATCAAAGAAATGCTACAACTCATACAACCCTATAGACGCAGAGGTCGCCAGGTAAAGCAAAAATAAAAAGTAGAGATTTAGCTACTCCTTGGATGTAATTGATTTTAGTATACTGCTCATGAGATGACTGCCAATGAGCAATCTCTTAGTAGTAGCCCTAGAATAAAAGTTGAAGGTTATGATTTCGCTCTTCCATTTCTTATTGTAAATACATTCCTGTGTTCACCCTGGTCTTCCCACATTAATTAATCATGTTGATATCAGGGTAGAAAACTAAGTCTGCAGGGAAGCAAGATTACATTTCAAAGGTGACAGTTATTCATTAATGCCACGTTTCGTACTTAATAAGATAAAGAGTGATGAGCATTAAGAAACATGAATCAGCTCTTAATGGCTGAAAAAGTTGAAGCATATTTGGCTGCTACAACTGGCAGCCCTTTGTTGCATAACTTCTACCTAAGGCCTCATGCACACAGGCGTAAGAATTTATGCTCCAAATATGCTGTATTTTCTGCCAGAACTAGGCAGAAAATAATGCCTCTAATGTGGTGTATGTACGCACGTTTATGTGCGCATGGTGTTGAGTGTAAATGCATTCTACTGGTCAGAATATTAATTTATTCTGCCCATTGAATTAAATTTAGGCTCATATGCACTTTTTTGCACATTTATGCATGTAAAAAATGTTTGTAACCTCCTCTCCAAACGTAGCTTTGGTGGGGGGTTTTTTATGCCTGTAAGACCCCATTCACACCTGTACCTTTCAAGAACACAAGCAGGAGTACACAATTCTAAATGCCGCTCCTAAAATACTGATCTAAATGCCTGATGTGCATGGCCACTTAGATTATCATAGAACACATTTCCTCTGCCCATGTGCATGAGGCTTTATTTAGGCCTTTTGCACATGGGTGAAGACAGGTGCCTTTTTGTCTATGAGAGAATGCACACATCTGTGTAGAGAAAATGTTGCATTTGAGTGCAGTAATTTACATGTGCACATGCAAGTACATACAAGTGTATACACGTAGATTGAAGCACTGGCAGCTGAAAGAAGATGAAAAATTTTTTTTCCATGTCTGTATACATATATAAGCAAGGTGTTTACGAATCATAAGTGATATTAAAGGCAATAAAAAAAAAAAAAGATAACAAACATGTTATATTTACCTGCATGTGTAGTGGTTTTACACAGAGCAGCCCTGATCCTCCTTTTCTCGCATCCCCTGGTGCTCCTGACCCCTCCCTCCTGCTGAGTACCCCCAGAGCAAGCAATTTCCATTCACACACAGAGCTGCAGCTTGGCCTTGCCCCTCTCTCTTCTCATTGGCTCACTGGCTGTGATTGTCAGCATCAAGAGCCAATGGCTTCCACTGCTGTCTCAGCAAATGAGCAGGGAGAGTCCCAGGAAAGCCAAGGCTCTTGTGCAAAGCACTGGATTGTGATGGATCTCAGGTAAATATTATGGGGGCTGCTGCACACAGAATGAAAACCTTGAGCCTTTACAACCCTTTTAAGTTTCTCAGTAGTAAAGATGTAGGCAGGTGTAGTTTAGAGGGTGAAGGACAAGGGGGAACTCAGATTCCTCTGAGGTCTCCATTGGTGTCATCAGGGGAGCAGCTGCCCAATTGGACACTGCTGCCCTGAATGACCTCTGCTGCCATTGTTAGTGTGGGCAGTGCTAATAGATAGCATTGTCCCCCTCGGGTTGGTACCTATTTTGCATAGTGGATAGATCAGGGACAGTTAGGGAAAAATTGATTAGCGTAAGGACAGGTTCGTGTGGAGAAGGAACAGAGTAGGGACAGTCGCTGTGTATTGAACAGTAGCCTTCTTAATGCAGGGGACCCATTGCCAGTCTGCATTGCAGCCACCTCCACTGTTGGATGCTGTCAGCTGTCTGCAGTGTGCACAGGTATCACTTGCCTGGCTCTCTTCCCTCGTGGGCAGGGAACATGGGCCCCACCTATAAAAGAGATTTAATTGCCAGTGTAGCCCTAGCCTAATTATTGTAGGTTATGATTCTTCCCTTTCGTGTCTTATTGTAAATACATTCCTGCGTACTCCCATGGTCTTCAGTTTGTTACCCATGTCTGCTGTGTAGAGACCAATTAATCAAGTTGATACCAGAGTAGAGAACTGTGTTTGCAGGTAAGCAATACCTCATTTCTAAGATAACGTTATTTATGAATGCTATAGTTTTTATTTAATAAGGCAAAGAGTGAAGAGCATTAATATTTATCATTCATTAAAAAAAAAAGTTGAAATATGTGTGGCTGCTATAGACAGTTGTCAATTGTGTCTATTCTCTACCTTTATTTAGGTGGCTTCAGATA